ATAATAATGAGGAAAAAAATCATTATAATATGGTTAAGTAACTCATAAAAGTCTCTATATATCTCTGTCTCTCCTTTATTTTAATAGGCATTCGAATTAAAAACCTATACACATTTTAATCTCAGCTACTTTTTTCTAGTCTTCTTTCCATAGCTTGACGAATATTTATGACTGTTGTCTGTTGCCATGGCAAATAACAATTCAAACCCCCACATTTTACTCTTTTGAATGATTAAAAGTCCTCAAAATGGCTGCTTTAAAACCATTTAATGACGGTAGCAGTTTTGGCTCCGCACGTCTGCGTCAAAAACACATCAAAACCGAACGTGCGAGTGCGGCGCTTCGTTGGCACGGTAACAGCCCACACGGAGCCCACTTCCCGATGTTTTGACGGTAATTAATTTCACCTCCACGGTCCGTTGCTCACGCCATCTTAAAGTGTATCGTTGTTTAGTTTTTAACGGCACGCTCCGATGAGTTTATGATGAACTGAAGCTGCTAAGAGCTACTTGACTGGACTGAAGAGGGGACGCCAAAAAACCCAGATAAATGGAACTGGTTTTAAAAGACAGTACAGGGCAGCGGTGGAGGAAGTACTCAGTATTGTTTTTGTTTTGAGGGTCCGTCACCTGCTTGTTTCCATGGAGGTGTCATTGCTCTGTCTAGAATGTTCCACAGTGTGACATTAAACAGCTCTACCTTACATTTATTCAATTACAGGTGGATTCATAGCTCAAAAATACCAACAAAAACAGGCATTTTGACTGTGAGTAGGGTTGCCTCTCCACAGATCTGACCTCTAACTTGGTTTAGTTTGCTCTCTATGATGATGGAAAGGTTTAAAGGTTTACTGTGAATCATTTCTGACAAAGCAATAACATCCCTGTGCATAAAAAAAGCCTTTGATGAACCCTCCACCAGAAAAGTTACACAATGCAAAGTACAAATTGTAGTATTTAAAGTGGACACTTTTTACAAGAGGTGGGACCAAGTCGTTGTTTGGCAAGTCTCAAGCAAGTTTCAAGTCTTTGACCTCAAGTCCGTGTCAAATCCCAACTCAAGTACAGGCAAGTCCAAGTCAAGTCTCGAGTCACTGGCCCATAAGTCCAAGTCAAGTCCAAGTTGTCTGCTTTGAGTGTCAAGTCATTTCAAGTCTTTAAACTAAAGTAGCAAATATAGCTTAGATTTTTTCAATTTATATGAATTTTATGATAAATTGTACTTTAAAAAATCATAGTATATTTATATATGAATATTCGTAGAGTATATAAAAGATGTAAAAATGCACATTTTTCCTTTTTAAATGTCTTGACAAGATCTTAGTTTGAATCATTACAGCTAAAATAGAAAGAATTCAGATTTAAAAGTGCTTCTCAAGTCACAGGCCTCAAGTCTGAGTCAAGTCCCAAGTCTTAGTCCAGTTCTAAAAATAGTGACTCAAGTCTGACTCGAGTCCAAGTCACGACTTGCAAATCCCCACCTCTGCTTGAAGGTATCTATACTTTTTTTTTTACATTTTTTAACAGGACTGCAGAGAGTATTTTTTTCATGTTGGTTTGAAACCTGCTGAAAATGCTGTCTTTTGTTTTTTTTTTTTAAATCTTTATTTATCTTCATAGTTTGTAGTTTAATACTTTTACTTAAGTAGATTTATTCATGTGAAACTTTTACTTAAAGGTGCACTGTGTCTGAAAATGTCCCGGTGTTAAACATAGCCATCTTTTTTTTTATTGACTTACAAACTTGCATTTTTACTGGGAGTGGGCTTGCCTTTCCACAGATCTGACTTGTAACTTTGCCCTATGGTGTCGCCTGCTGTCGCCGTAGAAATAAATAAGTGTAATGTCATACTGTGGAACATTCCTGATGACATCGCCATGGAGAGAAGCTGGCGACAGTTCCTCTACCAGAAAACTTACACACTGCACCTTTAAGTAACCAAATCGAGCTCTTCTTCACCCACTGCGTAAAAAAAAATACAAAATGAAAATGACACTCAAAGTTAATTTCCTGAACATAAATAAGACAGACTTTTTATCACTGCAGTTTAACGCAAAAGCTTGTCAAATTTGTTCCACCAGCATCTGAACTCTGCTCCAAACCGCGCACTTTTACTGACTGAGGATTTACGTGGACATGATTAAAAAGAGCTGATCTGATCATTGGCGATTAGAAGTGACAGAATTTGGGTCTTGATTAAAATTTGACTGATTGCAAGGCCCAAAGTTTGCCAAATATGAACAGAAGGGTGTAGTTGGCAACAAAAAAAGTCTCTGTTGAAGCCGGTGAAGAAGTCTGTGTAAAAACCGAGGAATGGACAGTACGGTACGGTGGTGTTTATCTGAGGTTTATACTGAGCCTTTTACCACACAGAATGCTTTACAGTTCATTTTCCATTCTCTCCACTCTTGTATAAAAGCCACAGCTGCCCTGGGGCAAACTGATGGACGTTCTTACCATTTCAGATTGGTGAAAAATGGGATATTATCTACATGTGTGGTCAGAAGTCTTCAAAATGGCATCTATAACAGGAACCAAGCTTCTAAGGCACAGGTGTCAAACATAAGGCCCGGGGGCCAGATCCGGCCCTCCAAGACCTTTAATCTGGCCCTCAGCTGATTTTCTACTAAAATATTGAAATTATATTTTCTATTAAAATCTTGTTAATTTTCTGTGGTGTTTATCACAGCAGCGTCTCCAGCGTCTCTGTACGTGGCCCCTCCCACCAGAGCAGCACAAATGAAGACTTGTCTCTTTCCAAACGCTCTTAAAGGACGATCGTTTTGACTGTTGACCGTGACACCCTCATCAGAAAAATGTCCAAAATGAGAAAAGTGGAGCCGAGTGCAGGATTTTCCAAGAAAAATTGACTTATTCCTATTTACATACAAGTTCATGTTAAAACATTGTGTTGAAATTTAATTTTTCTTAAAGTTTCCGGTTGTTCATAATATTATAATATTTTGTAAAAGAGTTCATCAGTTAAAAAAGATTTCTGTAATAGATTTGTGTTTTTCTGCACAAATATTTGAACTTATTGTTATTTTTGGGGTTTATATGACATGAGTTTTCTGATCCGGCCCCTTTGAGATCAAAGCAGGTTGGATACGGCCCCCGGAACAAAATGAGTTTGACACTCCTGTTCTAAGGTTTTACAAAACAAGGCTTTCTCGGGCTTGTGGGTAAAAATGACAAAATATTTTATCGGAAGTGCCTTTTGTTTAGATGGTGACAGCGTTTTTGGAGCTTAAAAACACACAGATCTGAGTGGAAAAGTTGAATATGCTCTGCCGTAGTGTTTCCATCTACACTGCCCAAGACGCAAAACTCTGGTCAGATCTGCTCACGTCGCGTACACGTTTACGTCACATACGTCACCACCGAGCCGCCTGGCATGCATACACAATCAAATTCCACACACTTTTGCGTCACTATATGCACACAGAGTTCCTCTTGAAAACTTTCATCTAATAAAAAGTGAAGACGCGACGCCACTTTTGCGTCTTCTGTTCAGACCGTCATCATATAAACGTACCCTTAGAAAGCTACAGTATTAGTTCAAAAATCATTCTAAATCACTTTTGAGATATACTGTAACTTGTATATTGTAGCTTGAGTGTGTGATTAATATAATATAGATAATGAAAAAAAAAAGTTTTTGTATTTATATGTATTAGGGGTGTAAGAAAAAAGAAATTCAGTAATATATTGTGATACTTCATTGCACAATTTTCGAATCAACACAAAATGCATGTAAAATTATATATATTTTAAAATTCATTAGTTACATTTACTGTTCTCATGATTTAAAAATGTCGTAAATTATACTGGATTTCATACAGTTTTGTTCTCGTGAAGGTGGAGTTGACTATATTATTAGAAGTAATAACTGATAAATCACAATATATCAGCCACTCTTTTAGTATGGGGATATAATAAGATATATCGAATCGTGCCTGTCGTGATATGTATCGTATCGTCCGACTCAAGGCAACACACGCCTCTGTTAGAAAGTGACCGCCACAAACTTGGTTTAGTGCAACCTGATCAATATTTGTGCATTTTACATTACTACTTTCAAAGTAGGGATTCATCGATACTGATACTGGTATCAAATATCAGCGCCAATACTGAAAGATTTGCAGTATCCGTTTCATGATATCGGTTAAGTAGATGTTCTGGTTGGACATTTAATTACAGAATGTTTGAACTTTTTTCATATGAAGCAGTTTAGGATCAGTTCAGTTGAATCTCTTGTGTAATTTGTGCATTTTAAAGATATTTTCCATTTTCTGTCCCTACACAGGTATCAGGTGAATATCTGATATCGGCAGATTAAAGTCATAATATTTATATCAGTATTGAAACTGAAAAACCTGGATCGGTGCCTCCTCGTTCAAAGATATAGATATCATTTTGCCTTTTGTTCATTATGATTATTTTGTTTGGTTGTGGGACCCGTGCTAGATCTGGTTTGCAGAATGTCTCTCCCCACTCTTCACCCCAATTTACATTTGTTTACTTTCATGTCCCAAAAGTCTATAAACACATTTGTTGCTACCTTATTTGAACTGGCTAAACATTGATAAACTCTCGAACACTTTCTAATTAACTCCAACATGTCGTCGATACAGGTGATTGGTTGCCACTTTTGACCCATATGCCAATTAATGATGGATAATGTCCCAACACTATAGAAAATGTATAACTTCCTGCTTATCCCATAGCACTAAACCTTCAATTTTCTCCATATTATTTACAAACACGAAAACACCTTTTGTTAGAACCTTTCCCCGTACTAACCCTCTTTCCAATGAGCTCTAGAGACGTATATAGAAATAGATCCATAAATGTCACTCCTCCCTCTGTGCTCATTAGCAGCTCAACCGTCCCCGTAGCCGTATATCTTTTCCGATTCTCATATTCCCAACGGGAGAAAAAAGAAAATCCGATTCGAGGTTCACGGAGGTCAGCGGTGTTTGAAGAGGAGCTGGACTCACCTGTAAATAATGCATGCGCTGTTCCTGCACGTGTCACAGTTGGCCGTGTCCTGCCCCGTCCGATACGAGAGTCTGAGGAGGAGAAACAACGCTTTGAATCAGTTTGAATCGATCATGAGAACAGAAACAGGCACGCCTCTTCTCTTATAACTGTAGCTGAATTCAGTAAACATTTCCAAAGAGGTTGAATTGCTTTTCTAAACTGACTGAACCCCTCCTGGATGAATGAGGGATCACACAGTCTGTTTAGAAAAATATTAAACCCCACTGCAAATTTAGTTTTATTGACCTTTATTTAACCAGGATAGTCCCGATGAGATGAAGGAGTACACAGACTAACGCCAACTAGAGTTAGGCCTGGCATGATAACGCGTTTTGAAGCTTGATATGTCGGTGCAGAGACATACTGACGAACGAATACAGTTTGAATTTGTTCATGGAAAGTCCGTTTAGATGCAGCTTCTCGTTTTCATGGGGAACCGAGAACATACAGCAGTAAACAGTTTACTCTCATATTTATATTATTCATATTTTGCAATAAACGATCATATTGAAGCTACTTTATGCCACTGAAACAAAGCAGGATAATACCAATAAACCCATTTGTAAATATACTAGCCATACAAGCCATGAGCTACAACAAATAAACAGCAGAATGAATGAATAATTAGTGATAGAAGTTACTTGTCTTTAGCCAGGCTGGTGCCACCTACTGCCTCCGCTCCAGCGACTAGGTCAGGAATCAGAATACACTAGACCAGACATGTCAAAGTCAGGTCCGGGGGCCAAATTTGGCCTGCAATATAATTATAATTGGCCCACGAGATCATATCAAATATGTATTAGATCTGCCCGCCGGCTACAGTTAATAGAAACATTAGGGATTCAGTGTTTAAGCAAAACTATTATTAAACATTTATTTTAATAAGAAAAGCTTTAACATTATATATATTGAAAGAAGAGAAAACATGCAGATGTTAAATAAATATTTAGTTTGGCCCACGACTTAGTCCAAGTTTTTAATCTTGGCCCTCTGTGAATTTAAGATTGACACCCCTGCACTAGACGGTTTGTAAGAACCCCGGAAGTGAAGAGCTGTGAAGCCATGATGTCAAACTCAAGCGTCTGTCTGGGTCCCTTTCGTGGTACAGCACAACAGTAAACAAAGCGGTCGAGATGGATGTAGACGAAGACAGACATTCTGTGTTGGCAACGATTCCCGAGATCGAGGATTTAAAGGTGGAACAAAGAGAATGTTTGGCGAATTTTATCAAGAGGGAAAGACGCTATTGCTCTTCTTCCTACGGGATTTGGCGCATTACATACGTCATGACCAAATAGCAACGATTGGTTAAATAAAAAAGTATCTGTTGAGCGAACGAATCCTAATGCTGCGAGGTCAGACAGTTTCCACGAAGTGAAATTGGCTCATGAATAAGGCTAACTTGTTTTACCCTCTACAGCTCAAATCTTGACATCACAAGGTGGTACTTAACTGTGTTTTTAAACTCCATACACCTTCACTGGAATCATTTGAATAATTCATTGTAAATCTCTACTGAACTAAAGCTAAAAGGTCGCTGTTAACTTGAAAACTACCACTGTTTGACATCACAAAGTGGAACAGAGCATTTGAGCTTTGGATATGTAGACAGACTAATAATAAAGGATTACTAAAAAACATGTCCGAATGAAACAAAACACAACTCCAGGTATGATTTTAATGAGCTAACAGTGTTATAACATGGCTTGAAACTCACAAGAGACAGTTTAGTGTAATGTATTTAACTTTTTTAGCCCCAAAGTGAGAAGTTTTAGAGTGAAGCTGCCCTTGTTTAGCAGATAACATCATTATAGGTTGTTTTGTCTCTATTGTGTTTTATCTGTCTCACCTTCAGCATTCTTAAGTACCTGATTAACATTTGATTTGCCTGTTGCGCTTTTCTAAATACATGACGTACGCTCTATTTAAACGTGCACCCTGTAACCTTTCTGCCACCTGCTTCACCACACAGAGATGTTATTGCTCATCAGCGTGTGACATTAAACATATGGATCTCCATGGAAACAAGCGGGCGGCGGCATCGGGTCGGGTTACAGGTCAGATCTGTAAAGAGCAGCGAGGTTTAATGCCATATTGTGGATCGTTCCGGGCAAAGCAATAATATCTGGGGTGTTTACAAGCAGGTGAAAAGTTATAGTGCGCCTCTGAATTTAAATGTTTATCTAACGTAACGGAATATCATTATGAATAAAGCCAAAAGTAACATTTCCATAGATGCAAATGTACTAAAGAAAATCGTAATAATAATTTAAAATGGATGAATATTACGAAGAATTAGTGCGTTATGATTAGAGATCGACCAGTATGGGTTTTTCATGACCAATGTTGATGGTTTAGAATCCATAGAAACCTGACAAGCTCTGCCGATATTTGTAAGCTGAAATGTACGTCAGATTTTGATCATTTTTTTTCCAAATTGTGTAATATATGTTTATCACAATATCACAAACCCATCCACATGTTTTACCATACGCCGTGAAGAAAGCTGTGTAGTCAGGTCTTGTACAGTTATACACGTACACGTTCAAATGTTTAAAAAAGAGCTTTTATCTCGAATTATGATTGTTTTGTGGAATACGGTATGAAGCATTTTTTATATCTTTTGGTAATTGGTCACATTTTTATCTTGCGTTTTTTTTCCATCTTAAAGGGACAGTCCGAAATTTTGGACATAGGACCCCATTTCCTAGTGATCCAGAGTGTTGGAGACGTGTGGAGACACTTTTTTAAATATTCCATCCAGTCCTTGTGTTTGCAGAGGTCGCTGGTGCTAGGCTAGTGCATGTCAATGGCCATAGTTATCCTGCCACTAAAATCAGTCTTACCCACTCCACAAAACACCTGAAACAAATCTATTATTACACCAGACTGTCGATGTAAATGTCTTTGTTGATAGAATCATTTTAGAAGTTAAACCAACCTTGAATTTGAAGGATTTATGTCTGAGCAGCAGCAGCAGTGAGTTTGGCAGCGGCGGACTGATATATGAGAAAATAGTCCCTCAACATTCGACGATTCATGCGATGCAAAAGGTTAGTTTTATTTCAAACATTATTCTATCAACACAGACATTTATATCAACAGTCTGGTGTAATAATAGATTTGTTTCGGGTGTTTTGTGGAGTGGGTGAGACTGTTTTTAGTGGCAGGATAACTATGGCCATTGACATGCACTAGTCTAGCACCAGTGACCTCTGCAAATACAAGGACTGGATGGAATATTTCAAAAAGTGTCTCCACACGTCTCCAACACTCTGGCGCAAACACTGGGGGTGAGGTGGCCTAAGTGTCTCGCCCAAGGACGCAACGACAGCCCTGTCACGATAATTACCACAATATATCAACTCATCGTTCAATATATGAAAACTGTAACAATATTTTTTCGAGGTCAGTATTTATCGTGTTTACATTTTCTTTGCAGTACTGGGAATTTCTTCTGTAGCTTCAAACCATAAAAGTTGAATTTATAACTTCTACTTCAACCTCTTGTACATTTAGAATAGTTTTTTTGGGAGTAATTCTGCCTTAGTGTTATTGTGTCGGTGACAATATTATTGCTTGTCTCTATTTTCTTCACCAATATATCTCAAATATACAACATCTACACAACTGCAGCATCATTTGTGTGAGTTATGGACATATAGTAGATCTGACTATTCAACCACTCATGTTTAAGTCGAGAACGAGACTCAATCCAGTAACTTCATCAGTGGACAGTCAAAACACACTACAAACTGAGATATACCAAACAATTTTAGCTTCGCCCTTGTGTGTGCATACAGACTCGTGTTTTCCGTGGACAATCCCTGGTCTCCTCTTTCAGACCGATCACAGGGTTAAACGGAGCCGACCGATGGAAAAAAAAAACAAAAAAACGCAGGGGTCACTGTGCCTCAGATAGTGCAGCTAAGTGGCTCATTTACTCTGATGTACTTTTAATTAATTTAGTTTTCTCGTTAGCCCTCATTAAGCCTTAAAATGTCAGAATAGAGACTCTAAATGTCATGATTTTGGGCAGGATCGCTCTTAGCTACAAACCTGATTCATGAATTGTAATTGGATGAAATAAAGTTAATTGCAAATTGAGAAAAAAAACCTATGAAACATTTTAGTAGCAAACTTCACTTCTGGGTATCGGGGTTTACTTCTAGGGGCAGGACAAGATCTCGTGCCACAAGATCTCGCGAGACACAATTTTCCTCATGTTTTTATGTTTTGAGGATTGAAAAAATGGAGTACCAACGAGTTACATTTTTTGAGAATGTGTAGTCCCAAAAAGCAGAGCTACAGTGACAGTAGAAATATTAAATAAAGTAAATCAAAAATGGTGAGGCTAAAATTTGGAACTGAATTGCACCATGTATTTATTATCCCCTATATAATGTCAAAATCTCGTCTTGTCTCGTTCTTGTAGACCCAATCTCGTGTCTTGTGACTCAGTCTCTTGACTTGTGAAAAAAACTATTACCTTCACAAATTTACGATGTTAAAAATATTATCTTTTCATATTTAATGCTTAATTTTTATGTATAACCTCCTTCCTTTAACCAGTAATTTACATATTTACTCAATCTTAAACACAATTGTATTAACCAACTTACTGAATGTTATTTTTCACTTCGTGGAAACCGTCTGACCTCGCAGCATTAGGATTCGTTCACTCGACAGTAGGCGGGTACACGGGCGGCAGTAGCTCAGTTAGTAGAGCATTCGCCCACTGATCTGAAGGTTGGCGGTTCGAATCCAGCTCTCGACATAAAAAACATCACAGGTTGAGCGGTCAGATCCACTGACCCACAGGTTGGCCGGTGTGATTCCAGCTCCCACTGATGAATGCTGCCGTTGTGTCCTTGGGCAAGACACTTAGCCCACAGTGTCTGCGTACACTGTGTGTGAATGTGTGTGTGAATGGGTGAGTGTAAAGCGCTTTGAGTGCCTTGAAGGTGGAAAAGCGCTATAGAAAAATGTGACCATTTACCATTTACTTTTTTTTATTTAACCAGTCCCT